ACTCTAGCTACCACTGACTGCACACTTGGTGTCCCTGTTTCCATAGTAACTGTGCTAATACAGGGCAAAAAAAATAAATAATAAATAAATAATCAAGCTAATGTGAGAACACGTCCCTTCCATGGTATTTCTTGGCATAAGGTGCTTCTAAGAAAAAACCCTTTGGCTTTCCATAAAAAAAGAACTGGAGTTGTTTTCTTGAATATTAGCTTTCTGGTGAAAAGGCAAGAGGGTGAAGATATTATTCAACCTATTTAAAAATTGTATTCATAATTATTGAAATGACAGTTAAGCATAATTCAATGCCCCGCACCAATTATTAGAACAATGTCAACTGTAATATAATTCCCATTATGGTAATATGAAAAAGTAAAACAAGTCAATTGTTTAATTTTTATTAATGAAAATTTAAAGTAAGGAAAGCTCCATTTTCTTTATATATTTCCCTAATGTTTTCTTTTAGCTTTAGCTTCATTTAGGGTTAGTTCACCCAAAAATGAAAATTAGGCTAAGTCATTAACTATATTACAGTTTGCTTTAAATGCAGACTTTGAAAATGTTTTTTTTTTTTTTTTTTTTGTCAGTGGGATGGCATCAATGAGCGTTAGATGGGCTGGGCATGACCCATTGGCAGGAATGGAATCTATCCACAAGTTTCCTACGCCCTGTCTTCCGGTTCGAAGTAAACAAACGAGACTTGGCACTCATTCGACTATCGATTAATCATTAATATTAATACGGCAATCTATTATTCAATTTGTTTAACTTTTTATCAATTAAAAATGCAATGAAAATACCAAAATACAGTGTGTTTTTCCACGATGAGTTCTTTATTACAAGAAATTTAACTGGACATTCGGTTAGCTATATGGCTAAACTTAAAGATAGCCTATGCGCTGCGGTGCACTGAACAGCCGGCGTTTCTTTAAACAAAGACCCTCGTTTGTTCCTAAATAATAATAAAAAAGAATCATGTTAAATAAAACCAAAATCACGTGTCCTGTGTCATTTAGAAAATTATTACTGTTAAAACAGCAGTTTAAAGCTCAAAACTCGCGATGACTGCTGCACTCGCGCTGTAGAAACCACCAGTGCTGGGAGAGTCTTCCAGAAGAACACCGACACACGCGCTTGTTGTAAACAACAGCACTCTTCATGATCGGCTCCGTCCACTTCCGTGTGTGATGCAAATCACGCATGCCAATTCCATTGGGCTCATTTCAATAGTACTCGAAGATGACTGGCTCCCTCCCTGATGTGATCCTATTCAGTTGAAGACGTCGACTACATCGAACATGAACGACTGAAAGTGAACAAGGAGGCTGATGAGAGGAGCACATGCCAACACAAACAAAGACAGAGCCATGTGCTCAAGCACAAGACATTAAGACAAACGAGGAATTACTAAACAAAGACAAAACAAACAAGACTGGGCAGGACCCTGACATTATCCAGCAATTTTACGGACATTTCCCTTAATCGAAACCCAACACAATGAAGTGCAAAATTCAAAATACAGGTAAAACACCCCCCAAAAATAAATAAAAATACGTATATTTTCCGTTAATTTAATACAGTGCATTGTGCCCCTTTTTTACAGATTGTTTTTAGAGTTTGATTATGGATCATATACCTTTGTGAAGTTGTTTTATTGTGTCACTTGTGTATCATCCTGGTAAATCTCACCTCAATCTCACACATTCAGTGCTGGAGTGAGAGAGAGACAACGTGAGGCTTTATGGTCCAGTGGTCTTTGGGGTACAACCATCTGTCTGTGTGTGACTTCAGTCCAGCAGCAGATGATCATATAGACAGTTCTCACAGGACGTCTCACCCTTTGACCTTGCTGCTGTCCTGCAGAACCCCACCAAAGCCAAACACCTTCTGGATGACCACCAACCAAGGCAATGAACAACTGACTGTCATCCATTGACTCACACACCAAATCGGCTTGTTTGTTTTAGAGAAAAATGTGTGAGAGAGACAGAGAGAGACGTTGCGATAACAACAGACGTGCTCTTTGAGGAAAACAAAGATCCTTTATTAACAGCAGGCGGCAGACAACGGTAGAGGCGAATCAAAGCCTTTGATTTGCTCTACAAGCCTAATTTGCTTGTATGGTCACAGATTACAGCTAAAACACATCAGAGAAAACCCTGAAGAAATGAAAGAGGATGAGACAGACGGAGAGATTGTGAGTGATATTCAAAGTCTATTTGGTAAGATTTGCTGACAGAGGAAACCTTCTTTATTAATGGTAAATGAAAAGAGCAGCAAGGCTGCAAAAAAAAAAAAAAAATAAATAAAAAAAAGAGCAGCAAGGCAAAAATAAAAGGCCTTTTAGTATAATTGTAAAAACATTTCTCTTCAGGTTTTGGTACAGGTAAGAATAACATTTATATTATTAGTCAAATTTCAAGATGAACACACTGGACTTATGCAGAATTAAAAAATCTGGGTAAAATCAATGTGAGTATCAAATATGATACATTAGCCTTTTGAGGAACATTTATATATTTTAAATGTCTTATATGTATAAACATCTCTGAATCAGCATTGTATGCTTTGCCTCTCACCATAAAATCTACAGAGCTTTGATCATATTAAATATCATCTTATTGAGACATTTTATTGGAAGATATAGAGTGACAAATTATATATATATATATATATATATATATACAGTATATAAACAATATCTTGAGTTGACGATTAACATTCGCTCGAGGCTAAGAACATAATTTCACTTTACAGTTTTTAAAAAAAAAAAACAATATTTAGTTAGTGTTTCAATCCCTATTTTGCACCGTTTATAGCAAGTGCCCCTGGCTGTCGAGACGGGAATAAAGTCTGCTGTGTGGGATAATAAACGTTCTGTTATCTCCTGTTTGATGTTGTTCACCCAGTGTTTGTAGTGAAATTAAAATTGCCCCAAAAGCCATCTGTCCTATATGTCAGTGTCTTATGTAAGACACAGTCATACTTATGTTTCGTAATTTTTCAAGTTATGTGACGCATTGAAGAACAAAGCTTGTCAAAGCAGCCTCGACTATCGTAATACCATGATGCTATATACTGTGACCTGTCAAGAATTATGTAAAGCAAGTTTAGCTCTATTATTCTTGACAATATCCATTAAACAGTAGAATAGAGTTATTATGGTGCATTTACTCCATATTACTCTCCTTATATTTCTCTTCAGACAGCCTTTTATGTATTTTACTTGATCAGAAAGGGTAACTGTGGCAACACCACTGTATTTTTGGACCATGTTTCCATGTTTTCTTTTTTTAAGGAAGCCTTCACTTTTCAGTGTCCTTGTGCCTACTGACTACCAAGAAACACTCCTGTGGCCCCTTTCCATGAAATGTTGATGCTTCTCTCTCAAAAGTGGCTGAAGGTCTGGACTGCATATCCATTTGGCTTTAGGCATCATGGGCACATTAATATTTCCACAATTACAGTACAGTATAATACCTCGGCCCATCCCTCCTCCTCTAACAATAATGTTTCAAAAGACATTATTCCGGTAATGGGTGGCTTTTTGAAACAACATGCTCTCAAACTGAACGTACAGAAGGCTTAGACCCTTTTCTGACATGAATTTACCCTTGTGTTCCTTGGGTTGCAGCAGCTTGAGGGTGTGCTATAGGGAGCATATGAACTCCCTGAAACGACCCAGATTACCTGAGCCACATCAAGCTGAGTTTATCACATTGGTCTCAAGAGATTCTCACAAGGTTCTTGTGTACTGAGTTTTTATGTACACCATGAGCGCAGTGTGATGGTACGGTGTTGAAAGGAAATTAAATGAAAGGTTTGTATCATGTTGTTAGTGGTATAAACTAGCGTTTTCTTTTTACTTAGTAAATGCCCCCAGTACTATCATTATACGCTAAACAGTTTTTAGAGATAAAACTCTTTACATTTGATTAACAAATCTCAGAGAATGGTTGACTAGATACTGATATTTTATTAGACCGTTCATTTTGTCTGTTGTCTCAGAGAGAGGGGGGGGGGGGGGAGCTGAATGTTTGCATGAGTGAATGTGAGATCTCCACACCATGTCAAACTCTATCACATCAGTCGGGTTCCTCTGCACTCCAGAGCTAATTTGATATGAGCAATATTTACCAAGCACACTGCTCCAGTCCTCTATCTGCTCCCTGCCCGGCTGGGTGTCCATCTGCAGATACGGTAAGAGGATAAATACACCCTGGATGCTCTTCAGTCACACCCTGCATACTTGAATAAGAACAGATTTGGGACCCAGGCTGTAATTTCAGTGTATACAACTGAGAACTATATAATGGTATCTATGTCTGTTGTTTGGTTTGGCTGTTTATTTACATTTACACTTGTGTGTGCTGTAGTTTCCATGTGATACAAATAAATGAAATTCGTATGATGTCCTGCAAAATCTTCAGATAATAAGGTCAGAGTGTATAAAAAAAGACAATAATAGACAAGGTATTCATACAAATATGAATACACATAAAATATAGCTTGTGGATATTTAGTTTACTTAGTTACCAAATAGTATCTCAGAGATATTTTTGTAAGCTGTGAAGACATGACCAGGAGACACTGCTTGCAGTCAGTGAAATCTTTATTGACTTCCAAATAAAGAATATCCAAAACCCAAAACCCACTCAAGGTGACCCTCCTCACGGCAGTCCCTCACCAGAACTGCTTTCACAGACAAACATACATTCCTTTATACTGAAAGGGTCAACCATTTTACAGTAGTAGGGAATTTAAATAATGTTCACATAATACACTACAGGCTACTGAAAATTAAAATAGGCTAATATTCAAAATACATCAACCTAAAATTATACAAGGAAAATAATACAACTAATAAACAAATACATTTCTACATACAATAAACATAAACTCAATAAAACATGAAACAATAACCCCCTGCTGCCATTGAGAAATGGACTATGCCTACACTACCCAGAATTCTTTGGGATGGCATAAAATGGGGAACAGAAAGGCCGCGCGTCCTCTCAGAAACCCACCCCATGCTGCAGACATGAACCCAGAAGGTAAGTTTTGCAAATGAGGATAAAACTAATGACTTATGTCAATCCCAAATAGAGAAATAAATCTTTTGGAGTTTTTAGCAGTCTAATGTGCACCTCAGACTAGAAAAAAGTTACCAAATAATTCGAAACATTTATAGAAATAATATAAACCAAACAAACACAGGGGCCTACACTACCATCAGGGCTAAATTAGGACTTTTGTCGAGTGCCGAAGTTCCGACGTCACTCTGTAGGCCAAAACGCGGAAGTGAGTTAGCATTTTAACACTCTGGGTTCCCTCAGTCTAAAGTCTATGGGATTTTTGAATGGGTTTTTGCTAAATCGCCTGAAATAAGGTCTGTGGTGAACAAAGCCTCTAAATATTTTCACGTTTTGATCTATGACATAGAACACAAAGTTATAACCTGCTTGCGTTTTTTAAACTTTATTGTGTTTTTTAAAAACTTTAGGCTTCAAAATGTATAAATTTTGGATTAACTTGTAGATTATCTTGATAGACAAAACGTGTAAGGGTCACAACTCTTTGTTAAACACAGATCTTAATTTTTGCGATTTAGCTAAAGTCTGTGGGGAAAATGCATAGCTTTTCAATCATGCGCTGCTAGCTTCCGAGTTGTCCTACAAAGTACGTCACTCAATACGTTGAATTAGGGTATAAGAGAGATTGCGTTGTCAATAAATGTTCTCACAAAGATATACAAGAATGTGTGTGTTTCATGGCTCATTGATGTCACCTTGTAAAAATGCATTAGTGTCCCGTCACCTCTTCTCTCAGTTTTGCCTCAAACTCTCTTCTGTGAGTCTTTACTGTCTTTATCGACGTGTTTTATAATGGGCCGTCAAGGCGAAAGCACCAAATCCTGTTTCATTTGCTCTTGTTTGCTAACGCAGTTTTAAAGAGGAAACCGTACATCTTATTTGTTTGCATTCAATTACACGGCCTGTCACAAGCACATCAGTGTAATGGTCCCTGAGCAAACAAGCAGATGAGTTAAATTCATAGACTTACGGAAACAAAAAAAGAAGGCGATTATCTGAGTGCATTGCCGAATGTAATAAGGACTTAATGACTGTGTATAGCCTACTTGGACAGACAAATCATTAGTGCCAATATCTTTTGTAAATATTCCTCAGTGAAGAACAGGAAGTCCATTCTTTGCATTTATAAAATCCAAGCCTCCATTCATCACGGATAAAGTGAATAAAGCCTAAACAGCATAAAATCCGTGTGTGTGCAGGAATCATGCGGGATCGGGGAAAACAACACTTTTTGCAGGCAGTGGGTGTTGCTACGACAACCATTACTTGTGACTGTTTTCCTTTTCTTTCAACTCTTGTTAAATCTCCGTCTTGTAGCTACTTTCCCTTTCAGTCACCCCATCTTTTTCCTTTTCTGCCGGCTTCTCTTTCTAACTGACTCTTTCTCCTTTCTTTCTCTGTTCTGGTCCATTGAGTCATGTGAATTTTCACGTTCTCCATCGAGGCATGGAGCCTCGTGATTGGCTGGTACCGTTCCTAATCCACTCTCTACATTTAGGTTGGGAACACAAACAGACGCACGGCGACACAGATGAACAGATGGAGAGAGAGGGAGAGATGCAGAGAGATGTGACTATTTATTGAGGTGCACGCAGTACACAGCACACATCTTTTTCCTTCTTAGCCTAGCTAACTGCTGCACGATTTTGGAAACATTAAACTGTTATCTGTGGCTAAAATGTCATTCTGTCCTTCAACTGCACATTAGCAGATCAAATGGCTCAGCTGGTGGCTTCCCTTTCAGGGCTTTTCATATCTTAGATTAACTGTCTGCACTTTGTCTCACCGCACTTATTCTGTTCGTCCATATGTCCCGATAATTACATAATTAAAAGGTCAATATGCCCGCAGCTTACTTTGACTTTTCTTAGAACATGAGAAAAATACTAACTCCTTATCAAAAGCATTGATGTGGTTTTCCCTGTTTTAAAAGACCAGGGACTAAAATCAGTTTCTTTGCTGGTCGGTGCCAGTTTATCTTAATTAGTGTTAGTCTGGTGCTGATATAGTTGGCAAGGCATGGTGTTTACTCAAAACTAGTTTAGTCTTTCTAATAAAGCTTTTTGGCTATAAGCCTGCCAAAATGTTTGGGTACCTGAGTTTGCCAAGTCGTACACTGTAAAAATGAATATGCTTTATCTAATCAAAAATATTGTGGCAACAGACTACAAGCAATATTATTAATTAAATGTAACAAATTAGAATTAAATTAATTCCTTAAAAGTTAACCATTTAAAATGAGTAAAACTTATAACAACAACCACCATAAGTCACCATTATGGTGATTGGTGTTTGTTTTAAAATTAAGGTTTTCTCCTTCAGTGATTCGGCTTGTTAACATCAGGTGTCTTCAATGTTGACAATACAAAATGAATACTTCTTAATTAATCTTTGACGTCTGTCTGTTAGTGAGATGTTTTTGTTAAATGTTTTGGTGTAAACGTTACTCATTTTAAATGGTTAACTTTTAAGGAATAATTTGATTAATTATTAATTGCTTGTAATCTGTTGCCACAATTCTATTGATTAGATAAAGCATATTCATTTTTACAGTGTATGCTATTCATCCTAAAGGGATAGTTCACCCAAAAATTCAACATTTGTCACCAATGACTCACCCTCAGGTTGTTCCACACATGATTTTCTTTTGTCTGTGGAACACAAGAGAAGATATCATATTCTGAATAATGTTAGCTACAGTTACAGCTTCTTTTTGTGTTCCAAGTTATAGGTTTGGAAACAACATGATGGTGTGTAAATGATGATGCATTTTTAGTTTCTCGATGACCTATCCCTTTAAAATCAATAGTTTTGTGCAGTTTTTCAATGACAAATTCTTCAAATTTAGCCTTTTATCCTCTCCAGTCTTGAGTATTTGGCAATGTCCTTGTATCTTTGCACAGAAGTACATTAGACTTCTATAATGCGCCGAGTGAGTTGGTGGAGCGCCTTTTTAGTGTGCTCTGGAGACCTTGAACACTCTGGCCCCTATAGGCCTCCTTAATTGATTTCCCTCAGCACTTTTCATGCTTGAATGCTTCTCTTGGGGAGGGACCTTTTTATACTTAAAAATAAATACTAGCTTTCCTGGCAAGAAATGAAATGAGAAACACAGGACATTATCAGGTCTGTTTGGGTGTTTATGGTTGCTAGACTGTATTTAGATAACATTATTGCATTGGGTTGGATGAGATTGAATAAGACAATCTCATAAAGTAAGTATACAACTGGTCTGCATGCAAACAGAAATCAAATCAGTTTTTTTTTGCATCACCTTCAAATCAAATAAACAAATGGCAAACACAATTAAATCTGGCATTTACATCCATTGACCAGTCGCTAACTTCTCATTGCAAAAAATAAAGCCAGCAATAACCGTCGGCTTGATGCGTAGCTCCATCATGTTAGATTCAATTATTTCATTAAAACCTGAGAAATTGTCAGTATAATAGATTCATGTCATTCTCTTGTGTTCAACAGAATGATTAATTTCGGGAAAGAAATAACTGATCATTATTATTTATAATGGAGCACTTCAGTGCATTCATAATGTGCACATAATTTATGTTTTAATGTAATGAGTAACCAACATATGTGTGTGTAATATTCATGCTGTTTGCTTTTTGCTCCTGTTCATCAGCTTGTTTAGGTCTAGCCTTTGATAACCTTCATATTCTAAATAGTCTTTTGGATTGACATGGTTAATAATGTCAGAGCAAATGCTGAGAAATCACTGAATAATAAGGCTCTCCACTGTCCTCAAAATAACCTTTTACATTAATGAGGCACATACATTTTAATGGCTTTCTGGCCCCCCATGGACTAATGTCATGAAATGCAAAATTGAAAGTGCGAAGCACACATTTTTATTAGCCAGTATAGGCACATACTGCTACTTCAGTCTGAAGGTGAAAAATGCTTCCAGGATAGCTTGTTGATGACAACTTGAATTAAATGGGGGTGGTGTGTGGGTTATCTAGATGAAATCTGAATCAGAGGCGATGGAGTTGAATAGAGTATGTGGGGAGATTGACAAGCCAGTGACCATGAGGCTCTGTGTATCCACAGAATATTACGTCTCACAATCAAGATTTCTGGCTGTGGTTGAATCACCACAGTCCTTGTCTTTGTGCTCACTCCTACACCTCGCATTCCCATCCGCACAGAGAGTAAACAAATAATCTGTGTTTAGGGCGTTAACATTGGCATGTTTCATGCGGCTGATAATAATAAATAAAAACATAATGGATTAAAAAAAAATGCCGTTAATCATGCGCTCTGATTCATAAATTAGATAGTGACAGGATTGCAAGAGAAATTCAAGCCTAAAGTACCACATTCATGTTAAAGGGATAGTTCACTTTGAAATTAATTTTTGACATCTCACGAGAATTCGTACGAATTTTACGAGGTGGCTAATTCGTAACAATTGGTACGACTTTTGCTAGATCGTACATATTTTACGAATTGGCCAATTCGTATGAATTCGTACGAATGACCTACCGTCGTATGAATTAGTACGAATTAGCCGCTTTTTAATCACTCGAACGAATTCGTATTTGGTCGTGAGATAGGTTTTAGCATACCCTGACAGAGTTTATTTTGCAATAATGACCATCTGACTTTATGTTAGTCTATACACTCTAAAAATGTTCAAATGGGTCAAATATGGACAAAGTTCAAACCAAAACGTTGGGTTAAAATGTAATTAAAAAAATGAACCCAATGGCTGGGTTTGTCCATATTTGACCCAAAGTTGGGTAAAAACAACCCAGCAATTTTATAGTTTATATTGAGCATACAAATTTCACATGGATGGTATAGAGCTTGTTCTGGAATGAGGGTCACAGCAGAGGACACATAATCTGACAGGAAGACAGCGAGATACCTCAGTGGACTGCACAGAGACAGGGAGTCACTGTCTATCACGCCTCACCCCCACCTCTGTCTCAAACAGGGTCACGGGATCAATCTGATTCTGACATTTCCCTGCTGCCACAAAAAGAATTTCCAAAATATGTGGGATGGATGAGTATAATCCTTAAAGTATCCTTTCTAATATTATGTAGGGCAGACTGTTATCTCAAAATACAAGGGACAACACTCACCATAAATCTATTTAATTGACTGAGCCAGTACGTTTTCTTGCGACAGGTTTGATGAATTGTTGTCCGCTCTTTACTCTGCTCATTTGCTATGTTTGAGGCTGAAATGCCTCAGATCCTCTGATTCTTGCTTACCTGCAATCACAATGCTCAGTATACAGATACTTCAGAGTCCCATTTATGTAATGAAGGCTGAGGCAAGTTGTTGTTCCTCTGGGAATTTATCACAAGAGCTATGTTCAGATATAATATTCAGTGACATTTTACAATAAGGTTTCCTCTTTTAACATTAGTTTTGTATGTTTGTGTCACAAGATAAAGACGAGGGAAGACAAAGGTACACATGATCCGATACAAGTGATTTTAATAAAACAATAAACACAGGAACAGACAAACGGTGTAAACACACAAACATTGACCGGCAACTGAGAAGTTAAACAGAGCAACTTAATTATACATTGATGATATGATAATGAATATGTGTGATGATCTGATGAGTGTCCATGACAACTGATGACTGGCGGGAAAGTGTGACAGTTACATAATAAATGATGATTTATTTATTATTTTATTAGTCCTCCAAATTAATTCTAATAGCTTCTCATATTTTGTTATAGCTATAGCAGCTATAGCATATTTTAATACCAGTACTGTCACATAATTTAATTGTAATTTATACAACTTATTATATTTTAAAATAAATTTATGAATTACAATTTCTTGATTTTAGAATGTCAGGTATTTTTTATGTTGCATTTTACATTTTTGAAATTGTTTTTTCAGTCAAAGTTTTTTATTTTAACAATTTTTTTGACAGTTTTACAGTTTGAATATTGCTAAAAACTGCAACTTGGCTATTTAAAGGCATGTTTGCATTTGTGACTTGGTTCCTTTTGGAGCTGGATCTTATTTCAAGGCCAATAACAGTGGATATTTACTTTTTTGTAGGCAGGACTTTCTAAAAATTAAACCATCGTGAAAATATTCAAAGTATAAAAGAGGATTTGCATTTGTTAGGATAAAGTCTCTGCACATATTTGGATCTGACATTAATGACATGGAAATTTGTTTAACCTTTACTTAACAAACCAGGTCCTTTAAAACTTAACTCTTGGCTACAGTGAGGGATTGTGTGGATAATAAATCTGCTTGATATTATGAGAGACACAATCCATCATTCGAATGTATATTTTGTAATTTCCTGTAGGTCTTATCATGGCTGATAATTCTCTTTCTGTTTTAGTGTGTCTGATTGTGTCTGACACCATCTAGTGTGCGCAAAGGACTGAGCATGGCAATGTAAATCCAGTGACGTTTTAAATTTATTACAATATGGAGGTGAATGGGGCACTTGTAATTGTGGCTTCAATTTGTTCACTATCTCAAAAGATGTATTGTTTTTACTTTATTATTTGCATTCAGAATTGTTTTGCCCTTGCTGTCCGTGACCCTATCAGAACAGTAGGCTAACCAGTAGTGGCTCCCGACAGTACATTTAGGTCTGGATCTCAGTGCTAGTTTGTAATAAACATTTTGTAAGCTTTATATTCCAATCACTGAATACATGCAGGCAGCCAGGCACACTTTTGGCAGATGTCTAATGTCGTTGCATTATTCAGCCTGAGGGTGGTGCTATAATAATGATTGTCAGGCACGCACACATAATGCTAGACTGGTAATACCAAACTCTGCTACTTCACTTTGCTTTGGAGTGGCATCATTGAAAAGTGTTTTCTTTATCGCGAGGGGGCGCCTGTCGTATAAAATCATTGGTTACCCGTAAGCCAATCACATAACGTTTGGTTACGTGCCAGCTCAGCCGCATCAAACTAAACCTGTAAACACATAAGTTATATGATGCGAAAACGAAACCATCGAGCGAAATACCGCTGTGAACGACTTTTGTAGACTATGTGAAGTAACTCGACGCATCTGTATCAATTACAAAGTATTACTGACCAATGGTCTAGCACCTGTGTATTTAATGGACCTTCTATCGCCCTACAATCGCATTCTTTAAGATCACTAAATTGGAGGCTTCTGGTTATTCCTAGGATATCTAAGTCCACTAAAGGAGGGAGGGTGTTCACACATTTAGCTCCTAAACTCTGGAATAGCCTTCCTGATACTGTTCGAGACTCTGACTCGCTGACCCAGTTTAAAACTTGATAAAAGACGCATCTCTTTGGCCAAGCATTCACATAATGCTTGGTATAACCTTTTACACCACTATTGAATTAGATCGAATGCATTAATATTATGAACAACAGCTATGCTAATTATTTCCCATCATGCTTTTCTGCTGTTATCTCGCTAGTCCCGATGTAAATAACGTTCGTCAGCTCAGGTTTGTATCCAGCCTCTCACGGAGACTTTAGATGCCCCAATACCTGTGATGAGATGACTAAACGCCTGTGATGAGACGACTCGACGCCTGTGAAGAGATGATTCAACGCTGGCGATATGTTATGCCCTAAATTAATACACAATTAACTAACTGTATTTTTCTATGTACGTTTCTGAACTGGACTTTCTGTAAAGCTGATTTGAAACATTATGTATTGTGAAAAGTGGGAAACATAAATTTGAATTTAATTGAACTTAATTAATATACACAGCTGAAGATGACTGATGTCGACTTGATCTGGAGTGGGGGGTACAAAAGGTAATGTGAACATTAGTGGAGAAGTAGGGTAAATTATTAAATTATGTATGTTGGGTACAGAATGCAACTGGTGCCACGTTTTAACTGCCAAAGATCTCTAAAATATCTCCTTTTGAAACTAAGGCTTCAAGAATTGGAGCTACTTACAGCTCAGGTGAATGGCAAAAAAAAAAAAAAATGCAAAATTGACAGATTTGAAATAATTTACTTTCTGGAGGTTCTGTGTCAGCTAAGCAACTGCCATTGAGATGAATAGCAATGCTAACAGATAACTTTCTCCTGTAGACCTTCCACATGCTACTACTGGCTGCTGGCTTCCTGCATTTTAGAGAGCACCATTAGTCACTGGTTATGTATGAAAAGTCATTACAAGGATTTCATGAATATTAGTCACTGAGAATAATTTAATGTTCATGTAAATGTGGACATCATATAGCTCTTCTGCACTGAGCTCAGACGTCCAGCTCTTTACAGAGGAATCAGGACGCATGCAGCTAGAATTAGATCAGTGGCCCCATGGGGAACACTGTGAGAAAGAACCCGCTGTCCTCTATTGCTTGATGCTGTCTTTATGTGTGTCCTCTCAAAGACCTGCGTGCCAGTCGTGCTCAGAATATCGAAGACTTTTGTTACGACGACTTTCTAGTGCTAAAATTCAACCTCACAGTCATTTTAAATCGATGCTTGTAACCTCCTAAATTTGTTTCATCAGGACTTGCAGTCAGAATCAATAATGTTCATTGATTCAATATAATGTTTCATTTCTTTTTTAAAGGAAATAAAGCAGGGTTTTTTTTTTCAGGAAAAATTTTATTTGTGAATGTGAAATTCAACAGTAAAAGAATAAGTAATTTTACACGAAAAGTATGAAAAAAAACTCTGCATTTGGGTCTTTAAAGGGAAAGTTCACCCAAAAATGAAGATTTTGTCATTATCACTTATACCCTCAAGTTGTTCCAAACCTGTATGCGTTTCTTTCTTCTGTTGAACACAAAATAAGGTATTTTAAAGAATGCTGGTAATCAAACAGTTGACAACAGTAGCCATTGACCATGGAAATCAATGGCTATCATCAGCTGTTTGATTACCAGCATGCTTTAAAATATCTTTTGTGTTCAACAGAAGAAAAAAAAGCATACAGTTTTGGAACAACATGAGGGTGAGTAAATTATGACAGAATTTTCAGTTTTGGGTGAACTATCCCTTTAACAACCTGCTGACAAACATAACTTCACAGCACAAGCCGATTGGTTACCAATTACATCTGTAGCCAGTGAGCTTGCTGCTCAAAATTTAAACAGTTGGTCAATGTTTGCTGTATCACTTACCGTCCCCAGTATAGATCTTCTACTACAGGTAATTTCATACAGTATATGCTGTTCCTGCAGCAGAAGTAAGTTTTATGAAGATGCTCACAAAATCTTGTCTATGTTGTCAGTAGCTAGCATAGCGGTAGCCACTGTACTTGCCCGCAGCAGATCTATTTTACATTGTCATATCCAGACCATTACATGATAAAAATATTTCGAAAGTTGTCATAATAAGAAATACCAAATGTTGCATATGGATTTCTTCCGTCTGTAAATAATCTTGCGGCCGTGAACGGAACAACCTTAACATCTCAAGAAATGGAAAATGTATCTGATATTTACACAAATAAGAAGTTACTCTACAGTAAATAAAATAATAATAATAATAAAAACATTCTTAAAGTTGAATATCTCAGCTAATTCCCAAGTGTATAAGTATTGTTCATGTTGTCATTTCTCCACACACCTCTTGCAAATAAAGACACGCTGAGGTAACGTAAACAGGTTTGGTGATGGAGGTAAATTGCTAATTGCTGGAAAAAGCTAATTGAGGATAGCTTCTAGAACTTCTAGGTCAGAACAACATGTTCTCATGATGTAAAAATTGTGCTTCCACTTCCACTGAATTTAGATTTTTTATAAAAGACTGAATACCTGTTTTAGTGTTTGTTATTGAAGTGTGTTGCAATGTGTTACACTTACTTTAGCTCTAGCTAGATAGGATTTCCCTGTGTTCTGTGAGAATTATAGTTAAGTATTTGTTGCCCTCTTCAGCTCAGACAGGGTCATTGCATATCAAATATGCCTATATTTGTAACTGAAGATGAACGTATCCGTCACTACTATGTTTTTTAATCCTTGTTAAAAGGTATCTCTTTGGTCTCCACAACATATGTTTTATTTATTTTTAATACATAGTGTGTATTTGTCTGGATTTATAGTGCGAACACAATTAAATTCAGTAACCATAAAATATTTATAATTCTAGAATCTATGAATATATCAGCTGTATTCTGGCTAATTTAACATTCACTGTAGAAAAATCATGGATTTTTCAAGGACTTTTACAGACTTTTCCCTTCTTCCCAGACTTTACCAGGCTCCATTGTTGTATAAATGAATTGAATTGATTAGTTTTAGCATCAATAGATACAATATCTCAAAACAAGTTCTATCAGTATATCCAATTAAAAGTATATTTCTAAAATAAATCAGAAGATTATTCAATAATTGAATCTTTGATGAATGATTATGTTCAGTTCAACTTGTCTGATAGATATATAGTTACTGCAGTCAGAAAACAAAATAATAGGAAGGATCATCAGAAATGAATTGGCTCCGTGATTTACTGCAGAGCAAGTGCCGAATGCAATCAAATATTAGCATCACTGTCACTTGATGGTAGATATGGTGAAGAAGCTGTCAGTGTTGAAAATTGAAAATTATTGTTTTGAGAATGTCTAAGATTGCAAATGTCTCTACTGTAGGTTCTGCAGGGATACAGCCGATGGAACTATAGCTGCACTTCACAGCACTGCATGCTCTACACTTCTAGACGAAAGAGGAAGTGATGACGTGAAACAAGGTATTTATAGAAAGACACGTCTTTAAGATCACGAGGTGACAGTTTTTATATTAGGTTCTCAACTTAGCTATTTCACTTAGCTATGCCCTCTGGTGGTCTACCCAATGAAATTTAACAGCTCGTTAATGTTTTATCGAAAGTATAATCTATTAAATGCAATGGACTAATCATCTAATACCATTAATTATTAGGCTAACCGATTTAATCTAAGCCTGTCTGTGTACCAGGCCTAATTGTCTGTATAACATGTGTGCTATTTATATTATAGCATCGAAAAATGTATTAAAAACCTTAGAGACTTGTTCAATGGTTTGCCGATGAGGGGTGTTCTCAGGGAATTAGCATGATTCAAAATATTAAAATATAGTGGAACCAAAAACTTTTCATTTTACATCCAAGAAATCTTTTCAGAGAAAAAAAAAACTATTCCTGCTTAGCTCACCAGGTGGCAGCAAAAGATAGTGATATGTTAGAATGAAGGTAGGTACTATAGATAAAATAATGTATATATTTCAGCAAACTTATAATATCACCATAATAATTTGTTATACAAGAGATGCTTTAAGGTACAGTGATTGTTCAGCAGCTATTGGTTGGGAGGCGTTTTTTGTGTTTGACAGAAGAAAACATTTCCTACATCTGAAGTTAAACTGAACAATGCTTTCAACAAATACAATGCACTGTACACTTGATGGATCTTTAAGTGTTCAGATGAAATGCCATTGCAATTGTTTGCAAGCGTGTGAAGCGTGTGATAGATGTTCACTTGGGTCATTCTCACGAAATGCCATTTGTGTGCTATGAATCACCGCTGATAGAATCAACAACAGCATGCTGAATTTAGTCACTTTATTTGACTGCTGAATGTGTAATGCAAAAGATATTTTAAAATATTTATATTTTACAATATTTTATAATGTTTGTTTTTCATCAGAATATCAGCCATTTTAGATGTGTCCATCACAATTACCTCAATGGGTTATTTATACACTCTAAAAAATGCTCGGTTTTCCATATTTGAACCAAACAAGGGTTGAAAGTTAAACCATTTTTTTTACATAAAAACCTTTTCACTGCCTGTAGTGCTAAAATGCTAAAATGCTTTATCCGTTTTGTCTGTTATATTTCTGACTTATCACATATTTTCAATAGTGTATAATAATTATTAATAATAATTCACCTTTGAATAGTTTTTTTTATCCCATAAATACTACTTATTATTCCTATTTAGATTTTTGTCTTATAATTTTGACTTCATATAGACTTCATAAAAACATTTTGACTTTTTATGATTTGCGGTAGCCTATATATCTCATAATTTGGGGTTTCCCACCTATATTTTTTCTAAACACACCTTTGATCATCTTTGAACACACCTAAGTCATCTTAACTTAAGTTATATTTAAAGTGAATTAAACAAATGTGCTGAATCTTGTATAACTTATAAAGTTGAAAACTTATTTTCGATGAGTTAAAGCGATGTAAAAACATAAGTGGTCATAACTTTTTGATCATCACATTTTCTACAGTGCAGAATGAACTAAGAATGTTCAAAAACAAAATAATAATCCAAGGCACTCGAATTGAGTAGAAAAAAAAATAAAAAAGCCAAATAATTTTAATAACAAAGAGAGTCACGGGTAAATTTTAAGTAGCAGTTAATTAATCAAATAGCAAACAGCAAAGTTCAAAGAATTTAATACATCTTACATAATAATAATTTTGTAAGATAATATTCCATCCTTCGAACTTTGCTCCCTTCGGGTTACTTTACATGTGACCAGTTGTTTATTATTTGATTAATTAACTACTACTTAAAATGTACATGTGACTGTTTGTTACAAACACCCTGACGAAGGCATTAGCCTCAAGGCGTAGGTCACCAATTTTATTGACAAAAGCCATGATCAGAGGCTTTTAAACTTTTTTCTACACAATTTGAGTGCCTTGGAGTATTTTGTTTTTGAGCTTAATTATCCCAAGAAACCAAAGAGCACAGAGACACCCTGGGCAGAAATTCATTTGCATTCTTTGCTGTGATAAACTAAGAATGTTATTTATTGTGAGAACTTTCTCTTTTCATGAATAACATCACGAAAATAAATGGGTCTCAGATACAGATCTAAGGAGGAAATCCATATTTTGATTTACTGTCCTCACTTTTGTCTCTGATAACTTTACCTCTGAGTGTAAAACAGAGGCAATATGATAGTATTGTAGTATGATGGATCAGGGTCGGCAGGGATTTCACTTGCATAACAGAATTGTTTATTATTTTAAGACTTGCCTGAACATAACCGAATGCTCAGAGCTTATTTAAAGGGGTCGGGGAGTGCATTTTACGTCTCATCTACCCAACTAGTCAACAAAGATAATACAAATAAAAACATCAACTCAAATGAGATCAACTCAAAAAAGCAGTCTAAATAATAAAAAATAAGACACCATATGTTCAACCCATAGAATACAATCTGACAGTACAATAGAATTCTGATGCATCTTGTAAAAGGGTTGTAAGTTGTTGTAATTAATCAAGGAATCAAACAAAATAGACAACAAAAAAAGGCATCTATGGCTAAGCTTTTTTTTCAGAATGAATGTAAAAAGCATGAGCAGCTGCTGCCATTCTGTGAAATAGTTGAATTCAATGAGGTATTGCTCATGACAGCAGCTTTATTGTAAGTTGTGATCTTTTGCTTCGAGTCAAGATCATTTCAAAAGCCTGACAGTGTGTCATGCATTATGTTGGCTCCTCTTGATTTTCTTCATAATTGTGGTCAGTAAAGACCATGTGTGGTTTGTGTCTGACTTTACTCAAATGGCATTAGTATGCATTGTGTACAGCTTATGTGACCTCCAAAGCCTTCTAGCTTTATTGAAATCATTCTGATGTGATTAAAATTGTTGTCATATGGACTCATTTTATGGGTGTCTGCCAAAATTATTTCTAAGTGTCAGCTATGAATAATATACTTCTCCATGAAGCAGAGTTTTCACAATATTAAAGGGACAGTTCACCCAAAAACGAAAGTCCTGTTATTTACTCTCCCACCCCCATTTGTCCATTCATTGAAAACCAATGGGGTCCAAAACATTTACTTCCATTGTATAGAGAGTATAGAAAAAAAAAAACTAGAGACATGATATCCTAATAATATACTTCTCCATGAAGCAGAGTTTCACAATATTAAAGGGACAGTTCCTCCAAAAACGAGAGTCCTGTCATTTACTCTCCCAACCCCTATTTGTCCATTCATTGAAAACCAATGGGGTCCAAAACATTTACTTCCATTGTATAGAGAGTATAAAAAAAAAAAAAAAAACTGGAGACATGATATACTAATAATTTTCTTCTCTATGAAGCAGTTTTCACAATATTAAAGGGACAGTTCACCCAAAAACGAAAGTCCTGTCATTTACTCTCCCAACCCCATTTGTCCATTCATTGAAAACCAATGGGGTCCAAAACATTTACTTCCATTGTATAGTGAGTATAGAAAAAAAAACTGGAGACATGATATCCTAATAATATGAAGCAGTTTTCACAATATTAAAGGGACAGTTCCTCCAAAAACGAGAGTCCTGTCATTTACTCTCCCACCCCCATTTGTCCATTCATTGAAAACCAATGGGGTCCAAAACATTTACTTCCATTGTATAGTGAGTATAGAAAAAAAAAGACATGATATCCTAATAATATGAAGCAGTTTTCACAATATTAAAGGGACAGTTCCTCCAAAAACGAGAGTCCTGTCATTTACTCTCCCACCCCCATTTGTCCATTCATTGAAAACCAATGGGGTCCAAAACATTTACTTCAATTGTATAGAGAGTATTAAAAAAAAAAAAAACTGGAGACATGATAAACTAAAAACATACTTTTCTATGAAGCAGAGTTTTCACAATATTAAAGGGACAGTTCACCCAAAAAAGAAAGGCCTGTCATTTACCCCCCCCCCCATTTGGCCCTTCATTGAAAGCCAATGGGGTCCAAAACATATACTTCCATTGTATAGAAAAAAAAAATCTGGAGACATAATAATATAGTTCTCTATGAAGCAGTTTTCACAATATTAAAGGGACAGTTCACCCAAAAACGAAAGTCCTGTCATTTTTGGAGACATTGAAAACATTTTTGAAAGTATCATCTTTTATGTTTCACAAGAAAGTAAGTCATGCAGTTATGTACTGTAGCTATGTGAGTGTGAGGAAATGACAACATTTTTTTGATGCATAATAAACTATTCCTGTTAACCAGATGTGCTTTTCTGGTTCTTATGGAAGCTTGTTTCCACCGTGGAATAAAAAAATAAAGTTAATTGTGACTTATTATCTCACATTTTGACTTCTCTCACAAGTTTATACAGGTCTTGCAGAAGTGTACTGTAACAAAAGTGCAAAAATGACTGTGTGTGTATGAGCGGTGCATATTGTGTGTGTGTGTGTGAAAGAGAGAGTTTGGGTATTAGTTTGTCAGTCTTTCAGAAGAGCATGTCTCCTTCACAGAGCTCTAGGTGAAGGACTGTAAGATCTCAGTCTCACTTTGCAGTGCATCTGCCCAGACTGTTTGGGTTGGTATGACGTTTATTTAACAGGATTACAGATAACAGCACATGTGGTGATGGGGCTTGGACACTCTTCTCTTACACTTGGATATTAATCCTCTTTATGCTTTGGGAAACTGATTGCACCAGATAGTCCTGCAGAGCTTTGGTCGGTCAGGGTAACCTCAGGTTAGACCTGTAGTTATAGTGCAATCGTTACCTTGAACCGTTTTCTATTTTTGAAACTAATTCCAAATGCAAAGTCTGATGTCTCATGTTTTTTTCATGAGAGAAACCTATCCCTCTTTTAAACATTTGAACGCTCTCCCCACCTCGCTTTCTGCTTATTTTATTCAGTTATTCATTTTTTTTGTACCTTCCTCCATCTCTTCGTCCTTCACACCTTCTTGGTTTAATATATTCATTTCATGAAGCCTAGACCTAGTCTTTCAAACT